TTCACAAAGCCCAGAGCTAGGAAGGCCTGAATCAGTGAGCTCGGGGCAGGAGTCCACACAGGAGCAGTACCTGTTGCAAGTATTTGGATTACATGCTGGGAGGATTAAATGAGACAAGCCGTGTAAACACCAGGCACACAGAAAGCATGAAATGATACCAGGTGGTGGCATGGTGTTACTTTCATTATTAATAATTTGAAAAAGCAGATTAACAGCTCAGACCCTGCTGAACTCAGAGCCCCCACGAGGATAGAAGCTACAAGGTAACAGACATGAAAACGTCCTAAAAGCTCCAGGTGCAAAGATGAAGGCTTCGTAAACTTGTTCTTCAAAAGATATGCTGCTTTAAAAAGGGACTGAGGATTGGCAAAAAAAATCTTCACACACATGGTGGTGCCCTTTTGGCAGGCCCCGTCAACACCACCACGTCCTGCCCTTGGCTCCTGGGGTCAGAGCTTGCAAGGAAGCTGTGACCCTGTGCCTGGTGTGCAGACTCTGGGCTTGTTTCTGAATCTCCTTCACGAGGCTTCGGAATGACACAGTGTTGACGCCGACTGTCAAGCGGGAACAAGATACCTTTGGACTTTCTAAAGTTAGGAAAGACAAGTATATATAATACACACACACACACACACACACACACACACACACACACACACAGAACACAAATGACTGGGCACTCAGGGTCTCTGTGGTGAGCCACACAGCCCAGCAGAGAACACACGGTGAGCTCCACAGAGTTGAGCTGTCCCCTCCCCATGTCCAACAGGACAGTCCCACACTTTCCTCAGCCAGCCTGGGGCAGGTCAGGGGGCAAGGCCTGTCAGGCAGGCTCTGTTCTTTGATAGCCTTTGAAGGGGGCAGAGGTACCCACTGCCACGTGGGCACATGCGGGAGGCTCATCCCGTTTCTTCAAAATACAGATGAGAAGGCGTCTTGAGTAACACCAATACGGCCACACTCACCCGCCGATCGTAACTGCACAGCAACGACCATGCAGTCAGTTTTCCTCCAGGTTGGTAGGCAGGGTTCTGGAAGCAATGGCAAGCACCCGGAGCTGACACAGGGAGTCTGTTTGGCAGCTGCACCTTCCTTACATTTTCTGGCCAATGGTAGGGAACATTCCTGACCCTTCTGTCCGTCAGCTTAGCTGAGCCTGGTGGGAGTGGCCCGTTGGGGGGTCTGCAGCTCTGGGACTGGGGAGTCTGGGTCATCTGTGGGGCCGACCGCATCCTGTGGGCACAGACACCCTGGCTTCAGCCCCTTTATGGAAGCCAGTCTGCGAGGTTGGGACGGAGGGGCAAAAGGCTTTCAAAGTTTTTTCTTGTTTTATGTAGAAACACTATTTCTACATAAACTATTTTTTTATGCTGAAATAAGTTCTAGAAGTTTCCAGATTTGTAGGACAGATGGGCCATGAAACTGCATTTCAAGTTTAAACACACTGGTTTAACATACATGCACACACAATTACAGTGCACACAGGAGGCTTTAACAAGTACTCCTCTGACCCTATTCCCTAAACACGACTGGGAACCAGGCTGCTACTGCCCACACAGGCCCTCAGTCTGAGGGCACTCAAGGTGACCACACAGGCAGCGACCACAAAGATCTCTGCAGCCACGGGATTCCAAAGGAACGCAGTGCTGTGGGCAGGCAAAACGTCTGTGTCTGCCCCACGCTGAAATGATTCCTAGCATCCTAGACTGCCTGGCTTCACATGAGAAACCTTGTACTTTTTTTCTTTTTTTTTTAGACAGAGTTTTGCTCTTGTTGCCCAGGCAGGAGTGCAGTGGTGCAATCTTGGCTCACTGCAACCTCTGCCTCCAGGGTTCAAGCGATTCTCCTGTCTCAGCCTCCTGAGTAGCTAGGATTACAGGTGCCCGCCACCACACCCAGCTAATTCTTTTTAATTTCAAGTAGACACGAGGTTTTACAACGTTGGCCAGGCTGGTCTTGAACTCCTGAACTCAGATGATCCACCCACTTCAGCCTCCCAAAGTGTTGGGATTACAGGCATGAGCCACCACACCCAGCCAACACTGTACCTAAGTAACTACTTCATGACCAAAGGTCTCAGATAATGCTGGCAACCTCTGTCAGCCTTGCTTCTAGAAACCAAAGGTTCTGGGTTTGGAGGGACCCCAGCTCTTCCCTGGGAAGTCTTTTTCCTGAATAGATCCAACTTCCACTTGTTTTTCTATCATTTCCCATCTTCTCGCACATTTAGGAGGCAAAAGAAGTTCATCTATCTAGTGATTCCAGGAGTTCCCTGGCCCATCTACGCATGGGTGAGCCCCCACCCAGGTCCAGCAGGTCAGGACTGCAGCAGAGGACACGGCCTTCCAGCGGACACCAGGACCTCAGAGGCCACCTGGCCGGCCCTATTCCCAGATGTGTCCCTGCTCAGGTGCCAGCAAGGACTGACTAATCCCTGACCTAGGGCCAAGCTATCCTGTATCCCACACTCAGTCTGTCGAGCCACCAAATCATCTGGCCCCGGCACACTCAATTCGTGCCCTTCCTGGTGATGATGCAAAACATAAGCTGGAAAGGAACTCTTCACTTACACAAGGCTGAGATGGGACGCCCGTCAGGTGCCCCACATGCCCCCAAACGCCCCCTATGTGCCCTCACACTGCCCAGGTGACGGCAGAACCCAGGTCCTTGCGTGCGGAGCGGCCAGGGCCCGCAGGGTTTTGCATGGTGACAAGGGGTGGGAGTAAGTGCTAAAGAGCAAAGGCCGGACCCCACCCCAGCCAACAACCGGGAGACCCTGGCCTGGTTTTCCACACATCCCCTGACGAGCCAGAGAGGATTCATCTAGAGAATCTTCTGGAAGGAGCTGCAGGGATGCATAGAGCATTCAGGGGTGTCCAAGGAGGCCCTAAGCCTCCTGCGTGCACCTCCCCAAGGGTGCCCCGCACCCTGGGCCCAGGGTGACCCAGAAGCAGCAGGAGCCGCAGGACCGCAGGGGCCACCAGGAGGGTGGGTGGCACTGTGCTTCCCATGCTTGCCCTCCAGTCTTCAGCACGCCGGGGAGCCTGGAGGCCCGGGCCATCCGGATGGCCCATTTCAGGCTGCACCCTCTGGCTCTGTGCCAGCCTTCCACCCTGGGTGCCCACAAAGGGTCTGGAAGCCCTGACAGGAACGAAGAAGAGAGCCCTGGGCACAAAGCCCGGGGCCTGGGACGGGGTCCGTGCGGTCATCCTCAGGTGAGTGGGGACTGTGCCCAGGACCCTTGGGGGACCGTAGGATACCTTTATCGACAAGAGGGTGTTCTGTTTAGAAACAGCACGGAGGAGCCGGAGGCCCCACACAACAGCGGCTCCCTGTGAAGCCGAGGCGGCCACTGGGCCCTAGGAAAAAGGGGCTTGAAGGGTGGGTGCCCCAAGCCCTCAGAGGACCAAGTGGCTGTGATAGGGGACCCCCCCACCACTGCCAGCCAGGGACCTGCAGAGATGTGAGGGCTCGGTGGTCACAAAGGTCTGTCTCTGCAGCTCCAACCTCTGGCTTAGAAAATGTGAGTGTCCCTGCTTCCTGGACCTCGCAGACTCACTAGGGACCCTCAACGTGGTATTCTAAATAGCCAAAGGGCAATTCCTGCTCAAGAGGATGCTCGTCAGAGAAGTCCTCCTCACTCAGACAACGATCTACCCACGGACGCACTCCGTCTGGGCAAGCTGCTGAGACGATTTTCTTGATTTTCTTTAACTTCTCTTTTAGAACAAGCAAAATGGAATGAGGGTGTCGGTGTGTTTCATGCCTTCTTTCCAGAGGGGTTAACTGGCCTGAAACACCACCCCAACAGCCACTGTGGATTTGGGGACTGCCAGACACATCTCCACACACCCCGAGCCACATCACGCTTTGCGAGTATCTCGGAATTCCTGATCCCCACCTGAAAACGGAACCCAAGGTCCGGCAGCAACACCCAGCAAAGTGTCCCCATCCCTCCAAGGCGAGCGACCACACAGCAACGAGCTGCGAGTAGCTGAGGATGGCCCATCCCACCCCCAACGGTGAGAGCCCAGCTGTCACTTGCCCTCTCTGGACCCCGTAACCCGCCCTCCCTGGGCCCCTGCTTCCTCTTCTGTGACATGGGGGTGGTCAGCATGCAGGAAGCCCTCCATGACGGTGAGGATCAGCTTAGGGATAAGACAGCGAGAGACCCAGGGGGAGTCCACTGCCTTGGGGACACGAGGGAGCCAGGGTCACTCTCTCCCTGATCAAGCTGGCCCGGGTGACAAGGGGATAACCTGTTTAGCACTCGGCAACGGACTTTTCCAAAAAGAATTCCACACTTCCATGAGGCTTAATCAGCTCGGGAGTGAGGAGTGACTTAGCTCCCTGTTTCCAGAGGGTCTTCTTAGCAAAGTGAGGAAGCTGCAGATCTCCCTGAAAGATCAGCTACCAAAGGAAAATAACAAGAGTGAAGGTATTTTTGGTGGAATGCATAACCTCCATCCACGGCCAGATACCGCTTCTGGAATGACACTTCTCATCTAGGTGAGCTCATTTTTCATATTTCAAAAGCACAACAATCTGCATTCACGGTGTAGTCCAAGCAGAGGGTAGTAAGCAGGCCTCCGGGTGTCCCCACTTCCAGCCCAGTGCAGGGGTTCGGCCACTGCAGAAACTTCTCATCTGCTAACGCAAAGTGCTGAGACTGCTGTCGGCCAGCACCCTCACTCTCCTGGGGCCTGCACCTGTAGCAGGGGGTTCACATCGAGAGTCCTCATCACCCCCCGCCCCAAGGGCAAGGCTGTCATGGGCGAAAGGTGGGTTCCCTTTCCTCTATACCCAAGCCCTCGAAGTGCGCTGCAGGTCACTGGAGGTGGCACAATGCCCCCAGATCCCCCAGAGGCTGAGTTCAAACAATCCAAGTGGATTCTTGATAACAAGCCGCCACCTCACTGAAGACGCGGAGCAGTTACATAAAAGCAAATCCCTTACGAGTTTCTTACAAAAGAGTTAATCATACTTACTTGGTACTTTACCTTCAGCCCAGACTTTCACTTAATCCCCGAAGCCCCTCCAAAGGCATTTTTCTGAGGGCGTTCAGCACCGCGACTCAGGAGAAACCCAAGCCCTGCTCTGCCGGCGGTGCTCACTGGGGAAGAATTCAGCCGCTCCGCCCTGACATCTGGTTTTTATTTCATATCCATGTTGTCACATTACATAACAAGCAGATGATACCGGAGATCACCGCAGTGTTTCGGCTGGAGAGTCACAAAGAACGCCCAGAACACTGTTTACATTCGGGGCCACGAACGTTCACCAAACCAAATTTAGTGCAGAGGCTGGATGACTTGAGGCTTAAGCCCAGCGCTTACAGTGACACCCTGGAAGAGAGGCGCTGGCCCCGCCTCCCAGCCACCTTCCACTAAACTCACTGCTACTCCTGCTTCCTTCCTCACTCCACTGCCAAGTTGGAGGAAAGGACAATTTAGCCCTGGCCTGCATTTGCTTCTCCTCACTTGGCAGGAGGCTATGGTCTTGCAGACATGTGCAGGACCCCCTGCCAGCAAGGGGCAGCGTGGGGTCCAGGGAGAAGACAGAGGTCAAGTCACATGGGCTCCACCCTGGGCAGAACGCCGCCAGCAAGCATCCTGGGAGCTGGGGGTCCTCATGGGAAGCAACCTCCCTCACTCCGTCCCCTTCTCCTTTGCTTATCTGGGGAAGCTGTGAGGACTGGTGTTGATAAAACATTCCAGCCGCACACTCAGGCCATGGGTGTGGCCATGCCAGCACAGAGGCCAGGAGCCCCTAGCAGAAGTGTGTTTGGAAGCTGCCCCCTCCCATGCTGCTGCCCAGTCCCATGGGACACAGAGGGAGGGTGGCCAGGGCAGCCCCAGCCAGCATCAGGCACAGGCCTGAGGACTTTCTCCAGAGCAACCCATCCTCTCAGGTCCAGAAAATGCCAGATTCCACAGCAGGGTTAGCCATCCAGCTAGGGAACCCGCTAAGGGGCTCTGTGCGTGGCAGGTGGTCAGAATCAAACCACTAAACCCAGGACGCCCTGCTGGGGGAATGGTCTGTGGCAGCCATCTAGCCTTGGGTGAACCGTTCTGCCGAAGTGCGGGTGAGGACATAATACGTCTTATTAGCACAGAGCATGGCCAAAGCCAATGTCATCAGTAGAAAAACCAACATGTCAATGACTTGGGGATCTGGTCTGCCCCAGATGTGGGTGGAAGCCACAGGTGTTCCCCGAGTCCGGTCCAGGGCTCCGCAGACAGCAGATAGAACAACTCGGAGTGACAGCATTGGTGTTTCGCGGATTCTGGATTTCGCTCTCCTCCCTGAACCAGGGTTAGAGAATGTTCGCTGCAGAGGAACCGTTTCACAGACTAGGTTCAGCAGAAAGCGCTCACAGTGTGTCTGTGAGAGAGCATGATGCTCCCTAGAGCACGGTGGAGACAAGGGAAGGCCCCTCCCATGAGCCCTGCCTCCACAAGGCTGCTTGGGGCAGGACTGCCGGGCAGAAAGAACACAGCACAGGCCCAGGACAGCCCTGAGCTGGCAGAGCTGAATGATTTCAGGTGCTCCCTCCTCTGCCCCCAGGGGGTAAAGGCAAACATGCAAATGGGATAAGCAAACAGAGGCCCCCAAAGCGGAGAAAGGCCAGGACCCTAGTGCCAACCAGGTAGGCCCAAAGCCCGGCTCAGCAAGCAGGGCTGGCAGGACTCACGACGGTGTGGGGCTTCTTGAAAATGCCCCTGAATTAAACTGTTGGCCTCCTCATCTGGCATCCTTCCCTGAGGACAGTTGTGCTGTCTCTTTCTCATAGTGTCATCTACACAAGGAGCAAAGGAAGAGGGCACAGCTGAGAAGAGAGAACAGACTCCAAGAGGCCTCCACTGCCCGCAGGGGAGGCAGGCCAGGGAGGCTGAGTGCAGCGGGGCCTCACTCAATGTCCAACACTTCCCTCCAATACAAACACACCGCTCAGAGGCTTCGACCCTTCCCCTGGACCTGACACTGGATCTTTGCTGCCCTGTGCCAGGTTAGCCATGACCTACAACCCACGGCCACTGGCCATTTAAGAAAATGAACCCTGACGTTAACCTGCTGGAGCCCTAATACTAAGCTAGGGCAGCACCGCAATTCCTAAACTGCTCGCCAAGAGCGCCTTTTAAACATGCTGCTGAGATCCGCGTGGTCACGGTCTGACAGGCAGGCCTTCTCGGCTACCTGTGCTTCCACTCCGGCATTACTAGGTGCCTAGAAGGCCTGTGAGCCTTTGTGGGCTCAAGCAGCATCAGAGGCACTTTAAATTCCCACAGAGTAAGGTGCCTGCTCTGCAGCCCCGGGGCAGAGCCCTGTAGCCTTGGGCCCGGGGGGATGGCCTGGACTCCGCGTGTCCCTTGCTGTGTCACGGGCACGTTGGTCTTGCATGGCACCGAGGCGTGTGGCACAAGCAGGCACTGAGCCCAGAGACACCCGAGGCGGACCGTGAGGCCGGGTAGCATGTGTCCAGTGCCGTGCAAACAGTGGATGAAGTGTTCTCAGTGGCGTCAGCTGTCCCGATCCGCAGAACGCCTAACTCCTGGCAGTTCTTTCCGAACATCCGGGAAATGTGGAATCCGAGTGTTACACCATCCAGTTGAAGATGACAGATTTATGATAGAAAACAGCACTGGCTACTGAGGACTTTGCAGGAATGGAGGTCCCTGTCATTACTTCACGGGGGAGGGGACACTGTGACCCAGGGCAGGCAAGGACAGCCCAGCCCCTCCAAAATCACACAAAGGGGACTCCATTTCTTACAGAACTTCAAGTTTCTGTTCTAAACAAACATTACAAAGCACATTTTAAACTACATTCTTACACGAAATTCCTATGCTGAGGCTTTTTAACAGCAGGTGCTAAAATAACAGTGAACAGTGACATGGCGGTGCTTCCTCACGGTGACACAGCAGGGAGCAGTCTGGACCGCAGCCAGCAGGGTCCTTGACCTAAGCGGCCTTGGGCAGCCCCCAGGCAGCTCTGAGCACTCCCCTGTGAAGGAAGAGCTCAGAAAGGGCTCCTCCCAGAGCTGGGGCTCTGTGGTTCCCGGGGGCCCTAGACTAACAGGAGGAAGGGGAGACAGAAGAATGCCCACTCAAAGCCTTACCCAAAAATCGAAAGTCAAGAAAAATCAAAACTACATCCTCTCAGTTTAGACCTGAGGAATTGCGGTGATGGCATGCATCACAGTCACCATCACGGAGCACTGGATGCCAAGGGGCCCACCTACCACACCGCAAGCTGGAAGGCGGGGCGGGTGGGCCGGGGCACCCCGGGCAGGGCAGGCACCAGGCCGGCCAGCCACATGTGCCACACAGTAAATGCTGCCCCTCCCAACTGAGACCCCGGTACTATCACCATGGCTCCTAGCACCCGACAGGAAGACGAGGGGGAAACTGACCACCGTGGGGAGGCCTCCTGCCCACCCCCAGCTGCACGGTAGCCCAGGAGCCCACACACAGGACATGCATGCACACACTTCCATGTCAGGCCCTTCCTTCCTCATCCGTTGGAAAGGAGGCCAAAGCCAGGTAGTCAAATTCACGAGGAAAATGTACCCCACTGTCCTCCGTCCTAAGGCAAACGCTAAGCACGGGCTGTTGGGCTACAGAAGCCGAGTCACCTTTCCTCTATGCACCCAAATAAACGAAAATGCCCACACCTGTCTTCACAAAAACGGAAACCTGCATCTTGAGCAACGTCCCTGCTGTTTCTGCCAGCATGTCCCAGGGCTATGAAGCTGATCTTCCCGTGGGTCTTCCAAGGCGTTCCCCTCGATGGTGCCGCGGCGCCAAGGGCAGATGTGGGGGTGGCCCAGCTGTCATGGTGCCAGCAGACCAGCCTGGCACGCAGAGAGGGAACCTGCTGCTCGTGGGCAGGACACGTTCCCAGTGTCTTTATCTGTAGAGGGAGCCCCAGGGCCTCTGAAGGCTGCTCCAGCTCTGCCAGGTGGGGACGGTGGGCAGGAGGCGTTCTCAGGCCCTCGCTCCCCACCATGGCTGCCGACGGGAGGCAGACGCGGTGTGGGCTGTAGCCTGCAGAGCAGGGAGTCGAGGTGGCAGCCTGGCGCTGGGTGTGCCCGGCTGGGGAGCTTCACCCAGGCTTGGGCTCCATCCCGTGCCTCTCACCAGCACACAGACCTTCTCAGCAGTACAGCCAGCTTCTGCCTCAATTCAATTCATATTTTTAAATATGCTCTTAATGGAAAGCAACAGAGGTACTTGACAAAATGCGCTGATGTGAATGTCCCTGCCCCAGCCAGGCACTAATTTTAGAAGGGGCTTTGAGGAGAAACCCAAGGGACACTCACTGGCTGGAAACGGCCTCCTCCCTGAGGAGTGTGAAGATCTGGACTAGAACCAAGCGTCCTCACGCTGCCCATGGGTCTGCTCCTCCAGTCGGGGGCTGGCCGTCCCACTGCACACTGATATCGCAGTCCGGACTCTTACTAACCTCATGACAGGTGATAGCAGGAGTCACCTCAGTTTTCCACGCCGCTTACAAATACGGCCGGTCAGGCCCTGGCACCTCTGGACCTCCAGATCTCCCAGACTGTCTGCTGGAAGCTACGTACACAGAGCAAGTTTCTTATGAAGACAAGGGCCTCAAAAGAAAGCCAACCTGCAGCACTGGTGACAGAAAGGAAGACAAAAGCCTCCAGGCCTGGCAATATGGCAGCACACGCACTTTCAGAGACATCAAACGATACATAGGCTGAGCTGGCTGAAGAGTGAGGAATACACTCCAAACACAGACTCAGGCAGGGCAAATCAAACACAAAAGCCAGCCCAGAGCCCAGGGCCTGCCCTGGGGACGGCCAGCGGCACTGCCACGTACCCACTGCACTGTCCCTGTGAGTGTGGGGGAGGGGCTGCAGCTCCCTTGGCAGGGGAAGCCAGAAGACAGGCCTCCAAGGGACACATCCGGGCCTGGGCTTGGTGCTGGCTAGAAGGGTCAGATTGAGAGAGGACTCCCCTCAGAGCTCATCATCACAGACCCCTCACAAGGGTTTGGGGAGAATTCAGACAACCCAGGAGGCCTGACAAGCATCCCTGGCACCTGCAAACACAGGCAGGTCCCAGGCGGCACCTCCCAGCACCAGGCAGAAAAAGGCAGAAACCCTCTCTAGAGGAACACGCTACCCACCTCAAAACAACATCCAAGAAGGATGGGCATAAAGTCACAGTCAAGAACCACGGGGGTCGGGAGTAAGCTCCAGAAAGACCTCAATTGTAGGAAAATCAGGCACTGACCCAAAACACATGTGAAGCACACTCGAAGAAACAACAGAGGTTATCCAGGGTCAGGCTGGAGCAAGTGGCCACCAGGTCCTGTCACTTAGTGACTGTGCAGCCCTAGGTGGCCTCCTCAACCTCCCTGTGCCTTAGCTTTCCATCTGCCAAAGGGGGATCGAAAAGCCCACACGCTCTGGAAGCAAGAATAAGAAAGAAAGAAAACAGATGTCTCAGCTGTTACTATTAATAACCATTAGAAGTGTCACATGGATCTGAATGATCCAAATGGAACTTGTAGAAACAAAACTGTCATCATTTAAATTTAAAACTAAATGAATGAGTTAACTAATCAAGTATTAATAGATAAAGCTGAAGAGAGAATTTGTGAACAGTAAAAGAGCACTGAAGAAATAACCCAGGATACAGCACATGAAGGTAAGACACAAAAAGCAGGAGAGGTTAGGGGACTGGAAGGACAGAGGGAGATATGCTAACACACACCTGTAAACCCAAAATAAAACTCTAAGCTCCCGACCATCTGAATGGACCCCCCCCCACACCCACCTGCCAACCAAGGGCATTCCAACATTAACCTGAAAAACTAGCTCGGGTCGCGATGGGAAGTGGGAGCCAGACGTGCCTCATGACACTCTCCCCCGTTTTGGGATTGCTGCCAGCACCCTCTTTAAGTCTGATGAGCAACATTTCAGTTTATTCCCTCCGAAGCCTGCCACCCGGAGGCTTCATCTGCATGGTGAATCCTCGGTCTCCACAACCCCTTATCATAATCCAGACATGCCTTTGTATTGATAATAACTCCTCCAACCAGCTGCCAACCAGAAAATGTTTAAATCCATCTACAATCTGAAAGCCCCGCACTCTGATTGTCCCGCCTTTCTGGACGGGACCAGTGTTCCTCTTCCACACTCTGATGCACGTCTCCTGTCCCCTAAAATGTGTAAAACCAGCTGTGCCCCGACCACCCTGGGCACATGCTGTCAGGACCTCCTGAGGCTGTCACAGGCACGTCCTTATGCCTGGCTAAAGAAACTTTTTGAATTGCGTGAGACCTGTCTCAATTACTTCTGGTTTACACACCTCATCAGAGTCCACGAAGGAAAGAAGAGAGACGACAGGAGGGCGAGGGGCAATGCCAAGGCAGGAGTGCTACAGAAACATTCCAAATGAAAGCCAGCACGCCCAGCCACACGCTGCAACACGCCCAGCCACACACTGCAACACGCCCAGCCACACGCTGCAACACGCCCAGCCACACGCTGCAACATGCCCAGCCACACGCTGCAACATGCCCAGCCACACACTGTAACACGCCTCACAGCGTCAACCTGACAGACCAGGCAGCAGAGAGAAAGTCCAGACACCGAGAAAGCCCAGATGGTACTCCAGGGCAGGACAAAGTTACCATCTCAACCACTGGGACGACTGGGTCGCCGTCTGGGAAAAGGTCACATTAAATCCAAACCTAACACCATACACAAGGGTAACCTCCAAACGAACTAGGCATGTAAATGTGAAAAACGAAACGGTACAAGCACTCAAAGAAAACAATCTGTAAGTCAAGAAAGACTTTCTGGCCGGGCGCGGTGGCTCACGCCTGTAATCCCAGCACTTTGGGAGGCCGAGGCGGGTGGATCACGAGGTCAAGAGATCGAGACCATTCTGGTTAACACGGTGAAACCCCGTCTCTACTAAAAATACAAAAAATTAGCTGGGCGTGGTGGCGCGTGCCTGTAATCCCAGCTACTCAGGAGGCTGAGGCAGGAGAATTGCCTGAACCCAGGAGGCGGAGGTTGCGGTGAGCCAAGATCGCGCCATTGCACTCCAGCCTGGGTAACAAGAGCGAAGCTCCGTCCCAAAAAAAAATAAAAATAAAAATAAAGAAAGAAAGACTTTCTAACCAGGACTGAAAATCCAGATGCAATTTTTAAAAAATAGTATGTTTGATACTTGGAGGAAAAACTCTTACATGGCAAAGCCAGCATGAGAAAGAGTGCCAAGATACAGTGGACAAACTGCGAGCAATTAGTTGCAATACACATAACAGATAAAGGCCAAAATCCCTTACATCTGTAAAACTCTTACAAACTGTGGGAACAGAGACCAAAAGCCTAACGAAAAAACCAAAGACAAAGAAAAGGGCCCTTAAGACCTGAGATGTCCTTCATCTACCAAACTGGCAATTACTATGCACTCCACTGCAAAGCCTTGTGGGAACAGGCTCGCTCAGACGCGACTGGTGGGAATGCAAATTGATATGTTTCCTACAAGACCTTCTGAGAAAAATCTAACAAGATGATCTATCTGCTTATCTTTTGCTAGAAATCGCTCCACAAACCAACTGTGAAGATACAACTCAGACGGCAGACACGGCGACTTACACCTGTAATCCCAGCACTTTGGGGACCAAGGTGGGACGATTGCTTGAGCCCAGGAGTTTGTGGCCAGCCTGAGCCACACAGCAAGACCCCATCTCTACAAAAAATTAAAGACAAAAAATTAGCTAGGCATGATGGCATGGGGCTCTCGTCCCAGCTCCTTCGGAGGCTGTCCGGGGAGAACTGCTTGAGCCCATGAGGTGGAGGCTGGAGTGAGCCACGGCCGCACCACTGCCCTGTGGTACACCAAGTGTCCCTGTGTAGGAGAGTGGCTGGAGGAATCACAGACGGTTTGCTGTCCACAAGAACCAGCAGGAGCCCGTGGACAGGTATGGCGTGGTTTCCAGGACACGCTGCTAGAGGAGCCGCCTACAGGACATTCTCTCTGTGCAAGAAAGAGGGCAGATTAAAGCACACAAGGCCACCCAGGACAGAAAGGGCAGCTCGTGGGGACAGGGTAGAAAGAGCAGGGGCACAGCAGGGGTAGGGGACCCACTTCTCTGAGTCTGGCTCCTACACAGTTCTGGCTTTTGAAACTACATTCGGGTTTCACATAATGAGAAAGCGAAAATTAATAAAATCAAAAATATGAAGGCGGGGGAACTCTAAAATGAAATACAAACAGAAACCAGTGAACCAAACCCATTTCAAATGAGTACCATCAGCACGCTGGGGCAGGGTGCGGCGTGCATAAGAGCCTGCCACAGTGGCTTTGGCCCAGGTATCCGGACCACATGCCCTCAGCCACGGCTGGACTCTAGTCCGGGGCTTCCTTTCCACAGAGGTTAATCATTCCGAGGTTAATCATCTCGGAATATTCTGGGATCGAGACTGAACAAATAAGTAAGTACATTACAGATTCCAAGAGCTCCACGTCTCATTGTCAGGGAGCGAGTAACAAATGTGAAAAGGAGAAGGGCGGCCGAGACCCTTGCGAGGCGGGGCTGGGGGGCTGGAACTGAAGGGCCGGGCGTGAGGGTGGGGCCGGGTGTGAGGGTTGGGGGCGGACCCACACACAACTATTCACAGCTGCCGAGAGCTGGTTTCTAAATAGCATTTCCCAAGAAAGGAACCAGGCCGCCTTGAGAAACAGCTGATCCCAGGCCGGGGCAGGGAAAGTACGGGAGACATCAGAACATTCTTCGTATCCAAGAGGGTAAAGAAGGGCCCCAAAACGGGAGGGACTTGCCAGAGACGCCAGCATGAAGGGGCTCTCATTGGCCAAACCGGAACAATTTGGGCAGCAGAATACATGCTGAAAATAAAAGACTATATCACCCAGTTAATCAATTAGGAGTCTATGAGTTTGAACTAATGCAAGTACCGAATAAGTAAACACATAAATGAGGAAGAAAGGAAAGCCCTTTCCAGCAGAAAGTGGCTACAGGATGTCCGCATTTCACGGCGTCCGCAGATTCTGGGAAACTGCTACTTAAAGCCAGGGAGAGGTCCTGAAACAACGCCAGGCCTTCAGCGGTCATTTGATTATAGCACTGGTGAGAAAAAACCTTGGTTTTGTTCTGTATTATTTCACTTACACGTCACAGTTTCCAAGAACGTCTTGAGGAGGCTCACGAGGGCTTCCCGTCCTGAACGTGACAAGAACGATGACACTAGAAGATGACCAGTGGCCACCACGACAATAACAGACTCAGGCAAGAACCCTCGATGGACGCTGAGACTCCCAGGTCAGGCTATCTGCACAGTCCCAGGCAGTGTCCCCCAGATACCTGCTAGCTATGCAGGGAACAAGGGTCACTTTGCGGCGGAGACACCTGGCAATGCCTGCTTCACCAAGGTTCTGGGCTGTGGTGGCGGCGGAGTATCACCGCCGTGGCCTCCGCGCTCAGAGGCATCACTGGAATCCAGTCGCAAGGAAACTGCCGAAACACCACGCTAAGAAACATTTCACAAAATAGCTGCCCCTACGCTTCCAAATCGTGAATGTCGTGAAATAAAAAACGATAAGGAGACGGTCGCAGAGCAAAGGAGATTGGGAGGACATGAGAATTCCATGCGCTGCAGGACTGGCGTTCCCTCACGACAACAGCACATTACCAGGCCATGAGCAAAACATAAAGAAGGGCTGCAGAGGAGCGGACAAGGCCGGAACACGGCCATTTCCCTGCTCCACTCATGTCCGCAGTTGACGAGAGATCAGGCTTACCTCAGGCCACGTGGCCGGCAGTAGTTGGGGGAGGGCATCCCATCTACCACTAACTTTCACCTGATTCTGAAAAAACATGATGCACATAAATAATCAATCATTCTTTGGATTATTTTTGCTGATTTTTTGTAAGTCTGAAATTAAAGCAAAACTAAACGTTGAAAAAAAGAATTTAAGGAATAAAATTCCCCATTATTACTACAAGACACTAATCTTCTTATTCAGAAAGTCCAAAAGAATATCAACAGGGGCCAGTGAAACACTTACAAAAAATGTAGAACGCTATGACCATGAAACAGCTAGAGAGACACAACAGATTCCTACCAAGGAACTAAACAGCCGTGGTGGAATTCAGTGACCGATCACATCCTCAGAACACGGGGAGAGAGCAGCTGCCTCCCAGCACTGTCTTCAGTGAGGGACCTTCAATGACAAATGGGAAAAAAGGCAACTCTCAGAGAAACAAAAAACAGAACTTACTTCTGCAGGAATTTCTTTCTATTTTTTTTTTTTGAGACAGAGTCTCGCTCTGTCGCCAGGCGTGCGGTAAGCACAATCTCGGCTCACTGCAATGTCCACCTCCTGGATTCAAGAGATTCTTCTGCCCCACCTCCTGAAATTTGTAAAGGATATTCCTTCCGGAAGAAAAGTAAGAGCAAAAAAAAACACAACAGAATGTCTGATATTCAACAAGAAGCAGCAAGGAAGTAATATCCACATATAGGAAAGGCTCAGGAGCAGTGGCCGTCGGAAGCTGTGATCATGAAAGCAGCTCACGGCCAGCCACAGCCTCCCGTCAGCTGCTGGGAGGAAGCCCACACACACCCAGATACATCACTTCTGCAAATGAATAAGAAAACAAAATCAATGACCAACAGAAAAATGGGTGCTCCGAGTCAGAAGACACTGACAGCCACAGCGGGCTGGTGGTCAGGCACAGGCCGGGCAAGGGCCGCCTCCCGAGACCCAGTGCTGTGCGCTGGTCGGTCTGAGGGAACTGCCACTATGTGTAAGACGGGTGGCCGTGCTGGACGTCACACAGAGTTAAAAGTGGCTTAGGCATGACCCGGCAATCCCATTCCTAGGCAGGGACCCAGCAAAGGCCCAAGTTTTCGTGTGCCAGAAAACAGACAGAAGAATGTCCACGCATCATGTTTGACAGCAGCCACATCTGAACGAAGTCAAAGTTGTGAAAATTCACGCAATAGAATGCAAAGCACCAATGAACACCAGTCCCCTGCAGCTCCATGCAGAAACACGGTTCTCGAGCACAGTCTTGCCTGAAAGAGAGCCCACAAAATAGGAAACATACAGCATAATTCCACTTACATAAAGTTCAGAAACATAAAACTAAAATGATATTGTTTAGGAACCTGTGCATGTATAAGAAAACCTTTTCTTAAGACAACGGAATGAAAAGCAGAAGTGTAAGTGTCCTAGTAATGGTCTCTGTCTCACAGAGCCCAGGGCTTCTACCGCCCTTCTTCAAATGATGCATATAAGCTCTATGTATTCCGTAATTCTTTGAGATTTATAATTAAAATTTAAAATAAATGCATGTGGAAAGGAAGAAAGGAGAGTAAGTAAGGGGGCAATGAAAGAGATAAATCAAATGAAAAAAAAATAAGTTTAGAAGGAATCACAG